GGTGCTGACATTGTACATTGTCAGACATGTTGCTGTGGGCTGCCCCTTGCCCGTGTGGACTCGAGGTGATTAACAGCAAGGTGATTAATAGCAGTAACTCTTGATTCTTGCGCAATTGGGCATCTGCGTGGCAGGACCCACAGCAACAGGACCGTAGCCACATTTGGACCCAGTTTTGCGGTTCGGCAAACCCTTAAACCAATCCATTCCTGCAAGTTAAATTATTTTTTCACGGGACTCGCGTGCCTGGCTGGTCGGGGTGGCTCCGCATCCGTCGGGAAGCGCGTGGGGCAGTGGTCGGGTTCCTGCAAGGTGCCGCATGGGGATGCTCGTGCGTTGGCCGCGATCCCTGGACCCGTGGGGAGGAAGGGAGCAGAGCCGAGGAGGAGGACGAGGATGCAGTGTCGGATGCTCCAGGCTCATACAGTAGCAGAGGGAGGCAGAGCAGCCCCTGTTGTGCTCGGCCGCAGCGGCTCCTTCCTGCCCGGGCACTTTGGCACATGGAGATGCAGGTGCGTTGCTGCATCATGATTTTCTCCTCTCTGGTCATCCTGGTGCCGTAGACCTCGGGCACTTGCTGGTGTTTTCCCTGCTGCATTTGCAGAAGCAAAGTGGAGCTGCCACCCTGTCCCTCCTCTGCCCTTGAAGCTGGGAGGGAGAAAATATTACAGGAGGGGAAGAAAAGTAGGAATTTTTCCCATTGGCAATGTCTAGTTTTCCACAGCCGCTCTTGACTTTTGCTGTTTCACCCTCCGGTGAAAAGCTGCAGCTCCTGTGTCCTGCACCATCTCCGTGTAGGGTCACTGTGTGCACAGTTGGGATCCTCCTGCACCGCTCCAGCCTCCTCAATGGCACCACGAGCCCTTTCACGGGAGCAGAGCAGCGATTGCACCTGGGGACATGGCCCCTTGTCACCCTGGCGTTAGGAAACCCCAGGATCTTCCCGTCCCCAGCGCTCCTTGCTCCGCTCCCGCAGGCACATGAGCCTTTAGGCGCGCTCGGCACCCGTTATAAATAATTGCAAGCGCAGCACTGCTGCCCAGCTCCTCTTGGCCGCTCTCCTTCCGCTGCGGTTATAAATAAAAGCCCTTTGGCCGCAGGGACACGATACGGAGCCGGAGAGCCCGGTCAGCACTGCTGAAGTGCAGCCTCCTGGCTTAGCCGAAAGTTGGGATGTTTTAATGCACAGCGTCGCTGGCAGCGTTTCGGACAGGTTTGCTTTAGTGTTTTAATGCGGGAGGGGTTTGTTTTCTACCAGCACCCAAGCAGGTTGCTGCTGTGTGCAATGCTGCGGGTCTATCGCAAAAAGCAGAAAAATGGACTCCATCCTGTGCCGCAGCTGCGTGCAGGGTACGGGTGTGTTTAACTGTTCCCGGCCGTTTTGCGGGAGCGTCCGTGGTCAGTGCCCTGTTCGGCTGTCCTGCCCCATCCTGGCCGTCTCCCGTTCTCACCGAGCCATGGATCATTACGGGGATGGAAGTGGCTGAACACACGTGCGCTTGTGAGCATGGGCCAAAAATCCTCAGCAGGCTCCGTCCCTGGAATGCAAACTGCAGCGCTCCCGGCCGGCATGCCGGGATTCCCGGCCGGCCTCGCGGCTGCAGAGCCACCAACTTCGGACCCGCAGCCACTCCACACAACCCAGGTGCAAACAGTTTCCTCCACGCTCTCCCTAGCGTGGTCGTAGCAAGGTGTTAAGTGTCCCCGGAGAGATGCCGGGCTGCGACAGGGAGTCGGTGACAAGGGAAGCGATCCCGGGAATCCAGCGGAGCCGGGAGCTGCGGCGGTTCTGCTGCTTGCGTGGGAAGAGCCCGCAGGAGGGGCAAAGTCTTATCGGGGCTGTTGTGTCGCGCCGAGTTCAGGGCTGTCCGGCTGCAGATCCGATTCCTCCCGGGAAGCCTGCGGAAGCGAGCGCGGCGCTCCTGACGGGCGCTCTGCTTGTGCAGCTCCTGTTTGCTTGACGCTGTTTCTGTCCCTGCTGCAGGCCCAGCATGTCGGGGCTGCACCTGGTGAAGAAAGGCCGCGAGCACAGGAAGCTGGACCTGCAGAGGGACTTCACCGTCGCCTCGCCGGCCGAGTTTGTCACCCGCTTCGGGGGGAACCACGTTTTTGAGAAGGTACCTTCCCTGCACGCCCGCTGGAGCTGGTTTGCACATTGCAGGGCATTGCGGGGGCCTTTGGACAAACCCAAGGCCTGGGAGCACCTTGCTGGTGTCTCCTCTGGGGCTGCTGTTTGCCCTTTTCTGAAGTCTCTTGCTTCCCTTTCTGGCTCCTGCTGCTCCATCTCTGCCCCATTCAGTCCATGGGCTCCTTGCTGCCTCGAAGCAGTGCAGAGCTCCCGGCAAAGCTGCCTGGGTCAGGGGCTGGCACAGATGGGCAGATGTTTTTCTCTCTCTTTCACTAATTTAAGAGAAGTTTAGAGAGGGGAAACTGTCCTAACGCAGTGTTTGCACAGAGGCTTCTCGCAGCAGTTTTGCATATCTGACACAAATGAAGGCCAAGTCTAGTTCTCAGTGAGTGCCGGTGCCAGGTATAAAAGTTTTTGCTAATGAGGCTCCTTCTGCTTCGCTGGCAAAGAAAACGGGCAGTTTTGAAGCTCCCGTAATGATAACTCTTCTCCGCTTGTTTTAACTTTGTTGTTTCCCACCGTAGCTGGTGGTTTTGATATATTTGCCAGAGCTGCTGAACACCTTGCCCCAAATCCTGTCTTTCTACCACCCGCTTCCAAGAGGGCTGCATCCCATAAGATGCCCCGTTCCCATCTCGCCCTTCAGCAGCAGTGGGAGGTTTCGGCTCTCCGCGTTTGCAGGCCTGACCCGCTGCGTTTTCGTCCCGGCCGCGTTCCCAGGTCCTGATCGCCAACAACGGCATCGCCGCCGTGAAGTGCATGCGCTCCATCCGCCGCTGGGCCTACGAGATGTTCCGAAACGAGCGCGCCATTCGCTTCGTCGTCATGGTCACCCCCGAAGACCTGAAGGCTAATGCAGGTAACTGCGAATTCCCAAACCCTGCTCAAAACCTTTGCTGCTCTTTGGGCTATTCCTGGGATGCCCTGTCCTCTGCGTGCTAGTGCTTGGACACTGCTGGTGTCCCTGTGATTTGCTGTGCCCACCGTGCAGCCAGATTCAGCAGTAAGTAGATTTTTTTTCTGTGTCCTTCAGAGTACATCAAAATGGCTGATCACTACGTGCCCGTCCCCGGAGGAGCCAACAACAACAACTATGCCAACGTAGAGCTCATCGTGGACATCTCCAAACGAATCCCGGTCCAGGTAGGATCTGTCCATGGGGATGTATAGACTTTGCAGGCTGGATGACCTATCCCAAGCCTTTGCTCAGGCTGCCTCCTGATTTGGGGAGTGACTAATCCCTCTGCTCCGAGAAACCGTGCGTGATGCTGCGGCTCCCTCTCTCCTGGCAGGCGGTGTGGGCTGGATGGGGACATGCCTCGGAAAACCCCAAGCTGCCAGAGCTTCTGCAGAAGAACGGGATCGCGTTCCTGGGTAAGGTCCCTCCTTCTCCCAGTTGTGGGAGGGAAGCGTGTCCGGGGGGCTGCTGCGGGTTGGTGCGTGCTGGGTCTCCCCAAAAGCAGACAGTGGCTGCTGGTGGCATCGCCCTGCTCCTGCTCTTGGCAGGACTATCCTGTCTGCCCGCTCAGGGCATCAACCCCCATCTGTGGGTTTGGGCTGGTTCCTTTCTAAGCCTCTTCCCTCCTCGCTCTTAGGCCCTCCCAGTGATGCCATGTGGGCACTGGGGGACAAAGTGGCCTCCACCATCGTGGCCCAGACGGTCCAGATCCCCACGCTGCCGTGGAGCGGGAGCGGTGAGTGCCCCCTCGTGCCTCCTCAGCCTCTGGCCTGGCCCAGGGTCCTGCTGCTCCTTTTTCTCCCCTAAAAGAAAGGCTGGAGCCGGGTCCTGCCAGCAGAGCAGGGGTATTGCTGGCAGGTGGTGGGTTGGGCTGCAAATCTGGGGCACTCTGCTACAGCTGAGCCGATGCTGGCCCAGGCAGTGGCTGCTTTTATAGCCCCAGCCATGGGGGAGGCTGTGTGTGCCCCCCCGGGGCCAGTGCCCCCCCTGCAGTGACCGCAGCCCCTGGCCCTGTCCGCAGGTCTGGTGGCCACGTGGTCGGAGGAGGAGCCGCAGGAGCAGCGGTCCATCAGCATCCCGCTGGAGACGTACGCACGGGCCTGCGTGAAGGACGTGGAGGAAGGGCTGGAGGTGAGGCCGAGCCCGCGCGCAGCCGCTGCTCTTGCACCTCTCTTTGGAGGCCACCCGGGATGGGGCTGGCTCGGGTGCTTGAGGGAGCCCAGCACCCTGGACTGTGGAGCAGCTGGTTGTCCCTGTGGTCCCATCTCTTCTTGCTGACTGAGATCCTGCTCAGAGCCATGCTGAGCTGGGCAAGGGTGGCCTGAGCTGCTGTTAGGGCAGTAGGTTGGTCGGGAGCTCCTTGCCCACCCCAGAACCGGCCCCT